AAAGGCTCTGTCAATTTTCAAAATCGCGCAATCTTGCCATAAATGCATCAAAGTCCAATGCAATGCTTTTTGGCTCTGAACCTAGGAGGAATGCCGTATCACTGTTATCGGTAAAGATTGGTACAGAAAAAATTAAATTCTCTCCATGTACAAAAATATTAGGAGTTTCTACCGACCAGAGACCACGTAAAGAGTCTCCTAAATAAATCCTACCTGCGACTCCGGGAATCTCAGGTTTGAAAAAAGTTCATTGTGGAGTACGGATCTAAAGTGTCATATTATCATGTCTATTCCCAGTAGTTACGCTCATGTTTTCTGTGTAATATCAAATTATGGCGGGTGCGCATATTTTCGAGATAATGTATCCCGATACACTCGAAAATGGATTAGGGGAATGTAAGTATAAAGCGTCGGAGGAAAATAGGTTTAATCGGAACGTGAACTGATTACGGCATCATCAGTGTGAGAGGAAACAGGAAACGACGCAACTTGTGACGGGAAAAGTTTGAATGCTGCTTTCTCTCCTCGGAATGCGATAAGTCATTAGAGGTATGTTTGGCATTGAGGCTCCGAATTGCCGGTATCTTCCGTAACAGAATAACGACAGATTTAGTCTTACGGGGGAGCAATAAGGGGAGCTTTTCCCTACACAACAAAACAGCTCTTGCTGAAAAGGAAAACGTACCCCATGTACAAGCCCGGGTTGACAAGGGAGTAGTGCGGATAGATAAATACAATGTGTCCCAGATTCGCTTCTCTATACAGGAATCTCGGCTCCTGTTATACCTACAGCAAAGGTTAAATGGTGTAAGTTTTAGAGGAAACTTAGTGCATTCGATAGTCGCTTCAGATTTATGATCGATCAATTGATTTTGGAAATATCGGCGAAAAACCAAAAATGTATTTTTTTTAAGTAAATCCGAAACGGTTAATTTGACAGCTGTCAAAATGTGACATTATGCGGACATTTTTAAGGCAAATAAGAAGCGTGTATGACTGGTCTCAATCGTCTTTTGTTTCCCTGTAACCTGCCTCGACCTTAATTTTTCTTATAATAATAATAATAAAATGTCTTTATTAGGCACATTATATAAACTACAACATAATGTGACCTCTACGTAGGCGAAGTCTAGCTCTTGGCTACTCTGCTTAACCTACCCAAATAATAAATTGAAATACTTAATCAAAGGAAACTTTGACAAGCAGCAAAAGACGCTTCAAAACAATGAGCTTGATAGCTTCCTGAGATACATAATATATACACACATATATTACGTAAAAATAAAATAAAATATAAGAATTAAAAACTAACTTTTCCACAATTACTACAATGACAAATAAATCTGTTTCACATGCTTACGAAATCTGTTTACTGGCCAATCCTTTATATTGTCATCTAATTCGTTATAAATCAGGATAGCATTGTAAGTGTATGAACTACGAAATAAAGTTGTTTTATACATAGGGATCTCTTGTCTTTTTTGTGTCTGAAATCAATGTCTGAATTATTTCGTCTGAAAACAAATTTCTCATAAAGATACAATATGACCGCCATGGATTTGTCGATTTTTGATAAGAGCGTAACATTTCCAGCCATGTGCAATAAAAGATTGGAGTATCATCAAAATATCATCACACTTAATGTTATGAAGGTGCACTTGTGAGACATCACTAGACTGGAAATTTTAAGCTCTTTTCAAAGATCAAAAAATCCCGTATCGCGGCCATAAGAAAAATGGAAGTTGAGGCGGGTCGCTGGAAAACAAAAGACGATTGAGACATGTCATACATGCTATCTTATTTTTCTTAAGAAAATATCCGAATAATGTCACATTTTGACAGCGGTCAAATTAACCGTTTTGGATTTACTGGCAAAAAACAAATTCTGCCATTTTCGGTTTTTCGCTGATATTTTCAAAACCAATTCACCGATCTTAAATCTGAAGCCGGCTATCGATAACACTAAGTTTCCTCTAAAACTTTCCCCATTTAATCTTTGCTGTAGGTATAACAGGAGCCAAGATGCCTTTAAAGAGGAGCGAATCTGGGACAACACTGTATACTGCACAGTTTCTCGCAAGACTTAGTTGTTTCGATTGCTGCCTAAAGGGACAGCGAACAGGAAGTACGTAAATTGCGGATATTGCAACGAAGGGAAAGAGGCTCACTGCTGACAAATTTACCAGGCCAGATCAAGGAACCAGTAATGTTTCTGCTTGCTGGCTTGTACACATACATAGGAGTAAGTACGAATGTACAGTACCGAGCAAAAGTAGAGAAACAAACTACATTACAAATAAAAATCTAGAAAGATTTACTCTAACCCAAAACTGTACACTAAAGTTTTTTATGTATGACTACCTCAAGATAACGAAATGCTTATCTTTGTATACATTCTATTTTTTCCAATATAATATCGTCGGTTTTTTGTTCAACGAGCAAAAGTAGAGAAAAATTTGTTAATATTTAATTAATATTTAGTCGTTGATTAGAATAGGTGTTATTTTTGAGTGTATTTGGTACAATGTAGTTCAAAAACATGGCCCGAGGAATTATATTGAATTTGCAAATAAAAGAATTGATTATTTTAAAATATCGATCATGCATTAAACGAGCAACCATAGTCAAACAGCTTAATTTAAGTATGGGGTTGCTTCTGTGGTCTTCAAATTGGATCCATCGTCAAAATTGAAGGAATTATGGACCGGTACAAATACTTGGAAATATACTAAGTGGCATATAAATCCGAACACCCAGTTTAAATGGTTTTATTTTAATAAAAGTTGGTGAATGTATTTATCTTACTGTAAATAACAAGTGAAAAAATTTTCAGCCTTATCAGTTGGACATTCCGGTTTTTAAACTGCTTTTTTTAATTCACTAACGCTCTAAAAATGAATATTTCAGCCGCAGTAAAGAATCAACGTTGGCGGATTTTGGTTCTTGACATCCTTTACGATCGGTTACGATGCCTAGAGTACGGAGACCTGTACGATTTCGTCAACTTAGTGAGTTTGATAGGGGCCGTATAGTGGGACTTCGGGAAGCTGGACTTTCTTTTCGGGCAATTGCAGTTAGAGTGCAAAGAAGTGTAGACACTGTGGTTAGGTGTTGTCAGGCATGGCTTCGAGAAGGCCGTACGCAAAGAGCAAGGGGCACTGGACGCCGCCGTAGAACAACAGACCGTGAAGATCGCCGCCTAAGATTATTGGCCTTAAGGGACCGTTTCTCCACTACCAGGTCCATTGCAAATAAATGGCATGCGAAGTGTTTACCGACGAATGAGAAGTTTTGGCTTGTTTCATACCGGCCACACTGGGTCCTCCCTTTTACTCGAGAACACCGACGTAATCGCCTTGAGTGGTGCAGACAACGGTCACTCTGGGATCAGGAATGGAATAGTATTGTCTTTAGTGACGAGTCTCGATTTTGTTTAGGCATGCACGATGGTCGTGCCAGGGTTTGGAGGCAACGTGGTGAAAGGAGGAATCCACAGTTTTTTGTTGAAAGACATGTTCATCACACTGTTGGAGTTATGGTTTGGGGTGCTATAGCTTATGGTTCCAGGTCACCTTTAATATTCATCAGAGGTAACATGAACGCGCAGCGTTATATCCACGAAGTTCTAGAACCCCATCTTTTACCCTATCTTGACACCCTGGCAGATCCAACTTTCCAACAAGATAATGCCCGACCACATGTTGCAAGAGTCACAATAGACTTCTTTCAACATAATGATGTCGCATTGTTACCATGGCTACCAAGATCTCCCGACTTATCCCCAATTGAGCACGTGTGGGATATGATGGGTAGGAGATTGCGGAATTTGCAACGTCCTCCTCAGACTCTAGAAGCACTTCGAGAGGAGTTGGTGGTTGCCTGAAATGAGATACCACACGAGGACATTGACCACCTGATCAGAAGCATGCCTAGGCGCGTTGGAGAATGCGTAGCACATCAGGGTGCATCCACACATTATTAAAGGTCAAAGGGCTTTAAAGCAGTGCAATCATTTTGAAATTTTTATCATTTACTTATTATGCTTCATTAAGTACTTATACAAAATTTTATTAAAATAAAACCATTTAAACTGGGTGTTCGGATTTATATGTCACTTAGTATATTAACTGATAGCATGCTACCTTACGCAGAATAAAAAATGCCTCTACGCTGGCGGTTCCAGCACAGCAACAACCCCAAGCACACAGCGAAAATAATAAAAACATTTTTTGCAGATCACAAGCAACTATTCCGTCCGATTCGGTATAAACGTTTTTACATGCCAGTTTGTCCCAGAATTGGTGGACCTTTAGCCTATGAAGAAACTGAATGTAGAGCTTTCTCCATTAGTTGGTCTTTTTCAGCTTCTTTTTCACATGTTTTTTATTGTAGGGAGGTATCTAGCTTCATAATTTCCCCCTTTGGGGCCAACGGAGTTCGTTTTTCTTCTGGCATGCTCTCGTCACATTTTAATGCCCGATTTTCTAGGTTTGTTGAAATGTATGACTATTCCTAACTCTTACCATATTTTTTTTTGTCCTGCATTTGTGTTTTGTGGTTATCTAAAGACTTCTGCAGTAGCTGTATTATATGCAATTCAAATTTCTGTCTCTAGTACTATAAAAGGTGAATTATAGTCTATCCAATCCTCATCCACTGCACGATAAACAAACATGACCACTCGATCGACGCCGCTTTTCGCTTATCGCTGCCTGCTCAAGCATTTATGGCCCGATGACCAATAGGTAAAGAAAAATACAGAACTGTAACTGAACCTAGACCTAGACGCAAATACCTTGAGGCTTTCCAAAACTAAATTAAAATAATGCTACAACTTATTATCCACGACTTTCGTACTTCGTTCAGAGGTGTATATGTATCTTAATTTGAAATCATGAGTTTCATGCATCCTAATATTCGATATCATAAGCAAACTGATGGAAAATATCTTGAATTTCTTTCTTTTAAGGTGAATATTGATTTTTTCTTTTCTTTTTCAGACTGGTAAGCAGTGCCCCAGTATGTACAAAGATGTCTACTACAAAGCAAACAGTTGGAAACAACATTAAGTGCTAGTGATACTAAAGAAAGTATGAACAGTTTACACAACAATTGATAGATACAGTGACTATCAAATATTTTTTTGAGCAGGAAAATCAGTGAAGTGATGAAAGAAAAACATACGCTACTATCAAGATTACTTTGATGTACAAGATGGTTTGCCTATAAGATCATAAACGGTATCTCACTTGTACTTTTTAAATTATTGATCTTTACCCAAAATGGAATTCTTCCAGAAGTACAACAGCGCATTTTAAACTTAAACGTCCGGCTGTTGGATAAACGTATGCATAGTGGTTTCTCAAGAATACACTGTTTTTATGCTTTACTACTTCAACAAACTCCAGCAAATTGTATGGGCGGCAGCAGGGTGGGCTAGGAGTGCCGTTGATCCCTCTCAGAGTACGGTTGGGCCTTAAAATTTGCATACTTGGCATGATTTTGTGTACAATTTTGAGGCTGTTTAGGAACTGCTGCCTCCTGCTCATCAAGAAGTTTTGGGGCAGGTACACTTTTACAAAAAGTTATCTCTTGCCGATGATCGCCCCTCATGAGAAAATTTCGTTCGCCCATGTACCTTTGTAATTAAGAATATGATAGCTAAATATCGTCAAAACCGATTATTCAATCGGTTGGTTAACTTTCATGTTTGCTAACCATAACTTGGAAGTTAACTGTTAGTTTTCAGTATATTCGTTTTTCAAGTTCTGGTTAGCTAACAAGTATCAGACAACGCTGCATCTACATCTGAACTATAATGTTCGGTGCGTCTATGTTGGTATCTTGTGTCATCCGTAACAATTCATGTCACTGCTAAGCAAAAAAGATAAGGCACTGTGGTTTAACTACAACTTTCTAATCAGCCCGTACACGAACCAGTGGTTAAAGTTGACTACCATTTTAGGACAAACCTAACAGTAAATTAATGTTAACCTGCAACCGAAAAACTTGGTCTAAGTCAAAATTAAACTTATTTCAATTTGCCTAAATACTAAAAATATAGAAAATAATTGTATCCCAAACAAGTACATTTTGACCCAAAAACACATTTCATACGTAACTGTTCGTCACATCCCCTCACGTAGGACCTTTATCCTCAAGTCCGTCTGTCGGTTTGTTCAATATGTCATGTCTGAAAAACCAGGAACCTGTAGAAAGAATCCAGTCATGCTGTAAGCAAATAATAGAAGAACTACCTTGCTCGACCAATTTTTGACTTTCCCGATCCTCTCCAATGCCATCTAAATTAATTTTGTCCACACTGTATATTCTTATGATGGATAATTATTGTGGGAAAACTGTCGAGTACTTCAAAGTAAAAATACGTTACATCACAAAAAAATCCTGTAAACGCCGAAGTGAAGTGACCAAACAATACTAGTGCTAATTATTAACAATACAAAAATTAAACATATCATATTTTGCAAAATGTATGTTATATATATATGACTGATTTGTTGTTACTGCTTTAGGGCATAGTGTAAAGGATAAAAATGTAGTTAATAAACGGACGTTATGTTTAAATGCCATATTCTATAAGGTATTTTAGTAAAAATGCTGAGCGATGTACATTTAGCTTTGTATAGTCACATATGGATGCAAGATGATAATCTTATAAGTTCCGTGTATGGTTCTGTTATAAAGTGATGAAATAAAAAACTTTTCTAAAAGAATGTGCACCTTGCTTTACTTTCTGGTAGGTTTCCTAGGGCTGCTTTCGTAACTTGTTACAGAGTGTACCTTGTACTGTAACAATTTTAGCGTTCATAATTGTTTAACATACCTGTTCCATGCAATCGGAAATGGAACAAAGTAAACCTTATGGAACGTCAAAAGTGCACTTTTCTCACCGTGCTCAGAACCTTTGGAATAAGAGTATTGTCGCTTGTGATGGTTCATTGTTTGTTTACTTTATTTGGTTATCAAATGGTGCTCAAAATTGGCAAAACATATATTTTTCACAATAAATGAGCTATCTCGTATCCATAGCGTTTCTCGTGATAAAAAATGCGCACAGTAAACATGGCTAGAAATTAGTGGACTGTCATCAAGTGTCATTACATGGCTGTTATAATTTAAGCGTTCTAAAAATAAAGTTACACGGAAATTGCAGCGTAAAATTTCATGTGAATCTACATTCCATTACTGCGTACGGTATTGCATTACTATGTAGTAGTTAATACGTCAGTCACAACAAAGTACTTTTATAGACTGCCGTTTAATATCCTGACATTTCAATTTATAAAGGTTGGTAAGAACTTGTGGGAAACATAAGTAAGTTTTCTTGAAATCCAATTCGGTGGAACTTAAGTGCAGCTCAAGAATAAATCTCGGTGGCATTTTCGGAGGATATCCCATATAACATGAAGAAATTACTATGATGTTTCGTCGATGTAAATGACAAATCACAAAATGCATTCTACATGAAAGAAAAAAATACCCCAACATCTATCGCTTATTTGTAAATTTGGTGTCATCAAAATATGTCAAATTTGTAGGTTCCGAATCCGCATCTCAAATAGTCCACATCACAAGACGGCACGGCACGTGTTGCTTAGAGATACTCAGACACTATGGTGATGATGCGTTTAGTTTTTCTACTACTTCTTAGTCTACAAACGTAGGTATCATAGTGGCGGTTTAATGAAATGGTGAACGTGCTGCAAATCATTCAATATCTGCATCCTCCAAAATTGAAAAATATATGTTTCTTTTAAATCCAATCTCAACTACAACTCTAGACAAATTATGTGACATGTTCGAACGCGATCCATGTAATATAACGAACTAACAATAATACTGTTATTAATGGTAAAAGCAAATCCAAAACGAATTCTACATAAAAGGGGAAAATTCCCAACATCTGTCAGATTCTAACTCCCGAAAGATTAGATAAAGGAAGATGTTCTTAATTTTCGGAAACAACTTCTTCAGTTACCTGCTATGGTGCGGGGAAAATTCAATGCAAATAAGTGAACGGATTTTATAACTGTGTATATAAAACAATGTGCATTTTCCATCCTAAAATAAGATATCTCCAAAAAAATGGAAACTTTATTTATTAGAAATACATACATCAGAGGGAGGTTCTGAAATCTGAACATAAAAGTCCATCTAGTAATTTTTAACAATATATCGCTATTTTGATTTTGAAGATCGTGTAAAATTTTTGGAAATGAACGCTTATTTGTAAATTTGGTATCATGAAAATATGTGAAATTTGTAGGTTCTGAATCCGTATCACGTATCCATATCACAAGACGACACGTGTTACCTAGAGATACTCAGACTCACAGGTGATGATGCGTTTAGTTTTTCTACTACTTCTTAGTCTACAAACGTACACATCATGGCATAGCAAAGTATAACTTGGAGTTAAAGAAATGGTGAATGTGCTGCGGATCATTATGTATGCGAATCCACCTAAATTGAATAATACAACTGACGAACTCGGAAAATAATATGATTTAAATGTACACCACCTGAGTTGATACACGTTGATATCGTTCGTTTTACGCCATTTTGAATTCTTGCTCGCAAAAGATCTAATTCCAAATTGGCGCTTTCTTCCTTAATATTGGTCTTCAAGGTTTGAAATTTTTGAAAGTTTCATAGGCTAGTCCTAAAGACTCAAGAAGCCCTGAGGAAAGAAATCTGGCACCGTCAGATCTGATGATCTGCCTGGCCAATTCAAATCGCCAGGCCGTTTTTTTTTTTAATCTAATGTACTGAATATCAACTGTTCATAAAGCAGAGCAAAATTTTATCATTGCTAAGGTCATGGCAACCAATTTGCTACGTTAACTTCCCACGCCAATTGGCGAGGAAGTATGGTAATAAACCTATAATGAGATAAGTTTTTGGATGTTACATAACACGTACATAGATCACGAAAAACCATGTCACTCATTTTCTTAGATCAGTCTTTTTGAAAATGGGTCCAGTGGCGGTGGAGAAAAGGGCCAAAACGAAAAAATATACGTAGTCATGCCATAAGTTCTGTCCCTCGTTTTCAAACAAGTGTAGACCTGTTAATACTTGTCCGATTGTTTACATTGTGGTGTCAGTTGATTAAGCGCTTTTCGGGTAATTACATATACCTCAGTTTGTATTGATCTCTCGAAGCATAACGATGGAGTGGGGCAAGGCAGAGAACCGTATTGCAGTGATAGCTTTACATAAGTGTAATCACAGTGCTAGTCAGATTTTTGAACTCTTACGCGGCCTTCAAATATCGCGTAAATTTGTGTCTAGGACCATTCAGCGGTACAATGAGACGTCCTCTGTTGATGACAGGCCAAGAAGCGGAAGACCTCGTCAAGTAAGGACTCCAGCAGCCATCAAAGCCGTAAAAGCCAGGATTCAAAGGAATCCACTCCGGAAGCAGAAGATCCTATCCAGGGAAATGAAGATTCCTGTCCGGACGATGTCGCGCATCATTAAACAAGACCTAGGGCTAGGGGCTTACCGGAGACGTACGGGCCAGCGACTTACGGCCACCTTGCGACACATCAGGGCGACAAGTTCCAAGAAGCTCTTGGAGAGGTACGCAGCTGGGGGATTCCGAAAGATTTTGTTCACGGATGAGAAAATCTTCACCATAGAAGAAAAATTCAACCGACAAAATGACAAAGTGTATGCAAGGAGTTCACAGGAAGCTTCGGAGATCATTCCGAGAGTTGAGAGAGGACACCACCCTGCGTCAGTCATGGTTTGGTGGGGGGTGTCCTACGAAGGGGTCACTCAGCTCCATTTCTGTAAACAGGGCGTGAAAACAAAAGCGGCAAACTATCAGAGCGACATACTGGATCCTATCGTCAAGCCTTTAAGTGGTACATTGTTTGCCAACCAACACTGGGTCTACCAGCAGGATTCCGCCCCCGCTCACAAGGCTAAGAGTACGCAGCGCTGGCTGGAAAGCAATGTGCCAGATTCTTGCTGCGGAAGTCGCCTAGGAGTCGACCTCAATCCTTGAGACAATTGTGGACCTAGAGCATGAGCCTGCTCCAATCCCCCGTAATCGGTCCCTAAAGCGGATTTGATCCGATCTAGCTTTACTTGAAGCTGTTTCAGTTATAGATGAGTGCCTGAGATTGAAGAAAGGCAAGATAGGTGGAGAAAAGAATAAGTTTTTGGGGAATTCTAAAAATGTTGCATAAATGAATATCTGTTCATATAAATATTCTTATCTGTCTTTTATCATGAGTTATCATGGGACAGAACGATATATCAGCTATATATATTTCTTCTTTACTTGACGGTTTAGAAGATCCTGATCATTTTTGAATAAAAAATAGGTGTAAAAGTTGGGGGTGGGGCAGGCCCGCCGATATTTGTTTGAACGCTTGCGTGCAATGTGTACATGTACAAATCTACGCTAAGTTCATTCTGTGTCGGTGAACCACTGGAACGGGTTCGATAACATCCAATCCTTTGAACAACTACTGCGATTCCGAGTATCATATCGAATCCAAAGCCATTGTATATTGTACTATAAGGGCATGAGAAAATAATAAAATACAAAAAATACTTTACCAAAAAATGTTATCTTTAGACATAAGTACCTATTTACTTCTTGCCTCTGTGTTTCAAAAATCTGCTAGCAAGTTTTTCGTATCCCAGCTGTTTAAAACTTCATGTTCAACAGAAACTATAGCTAAATTACTTGGTCTCCTGCTGGTGCATTGTTGACCTCAAGACGTTTTTTTTAATCCTTATCATTGAAACTTTCACCGGATGCAACTGTGACTGGAAGTGTAAGTAATATTCGTAGCGCTATTGCTGTGTTTGGAAATGTTGAAATTAAATCATTAGTAAGAAGGTATTGTAACAAAGTATGAGGATCATTAGAGTGATTTTCTGGAAAGTGCAATTTCAAAGCTCTAATTTCATTAAGTGAATCGATAGCGTCAATGTCAGTTTCGCCAGTGGATTCGTCTTTAAGCTTAGATTTAAATTTTTACAATGTATCATTTAGTCATCGTTGCAGTAATTAAATAAGTTGTTGTTTAAAAAGCTAAATATGTCAGTTAAAGTTTTTAACTCCTCGAATCTGTCCTTTAGAGTGATTAGCGTCTCATCTAAAATTCCGTAAAAAATTCTACTTTGTATTCAATCTTGGGGTCTAGTAACACTTCGTCACTGTGTTTATATTATATTAACTGGGTTGGTCTTCTTCTAAGAAGAATTGTGCGTTTATTGGCGGGAAATTTGCTTTTACATTGAGATCCTGAGCTACATCAGTAGCTTCTTGTAATAGCTTCGCAAAGTGCTCATCTGTTGCAATTTTCGGTTAACTTAATAATCAACTTTTCCAACAAATTTGCACAGATTTATATGTTTATTGTGGGGCTTTGTATCATTTTGCGTAAAGCATTAATTTCGTTTAAAATATCAAAACAAATTATTATTGAGCAAGTAAATCTATAATGTTGAATGCTCAGCGCAAGCCAATGAGCTTTGTGTCCAATTCTGACGAATTATTATTAGATATTTCCAGCAAAGCATCAAAAATTTTAAAGATGGTACCCTAATGGTTTGACTGCATTGATTCCCGCGTGGCACTTGGAGCTTTTAATTTGAAATCTGGTAAATGTTTGCAAATTATCGACAACCTCTTTGTAGATGATCAAAATAAAACGTAAATTTCTTGTATTATATTAAAGAAATTCCCAGTTTCGCGCGAAATATTTGCTGCATCACTTACGACCAAATTTAGACAACGAGCTGAGCAAGGAACATAAAATACACGACTGTTGATTTCCAAAAAAATAACTTTTTGTTTAGATATCTGCGGGCCTGGGTGGGGGTTGGACATATCGCCATATTTGATGTTGGTATATCAATATACTTCTTCAACTATTAAACATATTTCACACATCAGATACTGCTGTACTTAGAACAACAGAAAAAAGTTTTTGACAAGCGTCACTGAGTTATTTCGTTATAGCCAATAACCCATTAGTAAGACTGTTTTAAGCAATTTCCCGTGCCGGTAGCAAAACGACAAAGACGAACAGCTGAACGATCCCCCTTCATACCATTCCTGATTTTTCAATCAGTAGGGCTGGTCTATTACAGCCAACCAACTTGAGCATTCTAATATATTCAGTCGTTCCAGCTCGACCATTAACAGATTCGCAACGGCCACACGATGAAACGGGTTCAGGGTATCACAGCGGATATGAAACAAGACCGGAAAATCAATCTGGTAGGTAGATGCCGTGACGTCATTGTCGACATACACAAATGTTTACGGGATATATAATGGCAATGGCACAATACAGGAAATTAAAATATAGGCGACGGTAGGTGAGCATGGAACACGCCAAATCCAGATTTATGGTACAACATGCCGGTCCGTGTCGGCGAGGGAGAAATGGGATTGGATTTGTGGCGTCCGCTGCTACTTACTGCGAGGATATGAACTCTAGTCGAAGACTATAAAGCTAGCTCAACACGCTCAAGCGCACTCATATTAGGTGTTTCAGGTAGGAATGGGAGATAATAAGCTGTAAGGTCCAAGAAAATCTAGTGTCTGCGCACAAAAATTGGTTTATTGCAAAGATCTAGCTTTCTATGGGTTTAATGCTGTTGTCAATATTGTAGAGAATAAAATTATCTACAACTTTCGTTCTAAACGTTATTTGATACAATCAATTTTTTGAGATAGAGAACGGTGATCGCGCAGAGCTGCTGTTTACGGCAAGCGCGAGTTCAACCGTCAACTGTCCAGGGACCCAGTTCTTGGAATGGAGGAATAGAGTAGCTAATAGGAAGTACTTTGTCAGCTTTTTGACATGTGGTTTGACGTTTGCCAAATACGAGGGCGGTTCAATAAGTACCCGTGTTAGAAATGAAGACACCATTTTTTCCAAATAATTTCTTTTTATTTTCCAACATAATCCCCTTTTAGAAAGATACACTTTTCCCACCGTTCCTGCCTGAACCAATATCTAACTGTGGTCATAGATGGCGAAGTGTTCCCGTAAACATCATTCAACTTTGCTTTCATCTCCTCACATTTTTCCCATCCAAAAACAAAAAGCGAATTACCGAACGATACTGCTCTTTTTCCATCTTAGCGACAATCACGAAACAAGTGTTATTCGAATAACTGCCAAATCCAAACTAACTTATCAATCAGTCTGAAATGTGTTGTGCTGTCGTTTGATATATGACAGCACTCGATGATAACATTAACTTCCCTCAGGAACGCACTCTGTCGTCAAACACGGATACTTATTGAACGGCCTTCGTAAGTTTGTGACTGAATTCATTTTTGGCAAAATATGTATTTCTAGGTTTTTTCATATGGTTAAACGTTTTTTTCGCAAAGTTAACAAGACTGATGTCGACAGCGAGACTTCAGCACTTTTTCTCCCGAACGTGACTCGGGCGAGCAGCTATTTTATTTGCGTTCGGAAGTGCAATTTTCTGAAAGGTAAGAGAACCACGTCCACTTTCTCTGTTATTCTATTCCCACATTTCCAGAATTGTTGGTGTCTATCCGAATGTTGAGATGCATGCCCTTTCGCAACGCCGGTGACTATCCTATATCAACAGTTTCGGATGAAAAAATCTTTTATTCAGCTTTGGCTACTTCTTGGAATCCACGAAAAATTTCGCCATTCTTGGCAATTAGCAATTACTGGGAAACTCTAAAACTACGAGGGTGGTCCGGTAAGTACTTGCCCTCACTGCCCGATGGCGCCCCTATCACTAGAGAAATCGGCTGTCATGTATAGTTGTAGTCACCGTTCTTGGCGGTAACGTCATCAACGCCATATGAAATGCGTAAACAGATCGAGTCTCCGTACCATGGGCGAAACACCGTGCAGACTAATCTTCAGCGCATCTGCTATTCTCTCTAGTACGCATAAAGTATTGTAAAATTTTATATTGAAGATTGGTAACACGACAACCCAAATTGCAGGCCGATGTCAGGTAGGTTGATCCTCTGACAAATATGATTGAAGGGCACTCATACGTACCGACAAGGTTTTAGAGATGGAGACTCACAACTAAAAAACGTCATGTCATAGAGCTTACCGAACAGACGTTCACACAGAGGGATAGGTTGCATGTGTATGTATGAGGGAGATGGAGATATATAAAGGGATACTGGTATAGTTGTAGTCAAAATTCTTGTAAACGAATGGTTTGCGATTCATATCGACAAGGTAAGCTGCTGTATTTTGCTATAAGACGCCCTTTGAACTAACTCTGTATATTGCTCAATAAACTAGTAATGATAGCCGGAAAACATGTGTTTTGGGATAAAAATTAGAAATTCTCAAAAATTACTTGACCAATCTACTCGAATTTTGTTGTGGTTATTTAGAAGTATGAATCCTACAAATTCGAAGAATTTCAAATATCTGCGAGAAACCATCGTCGCATTACCAGCAAGTGCCAAAACCTGCAGTTTGCCTCGGTTTTCGGTCATAACTTTTTTGCTATTAGTCGGATCTTTTTACGTGTGGTCTCGTTTTGTAGTATCGCATAAACACCTAAAAGTCTTATATGAAGGGTATTTTCGGTCCTACCAACACTTTCGATTGAATCCCAAGAAAACACGTTTTGTCATTCTTTGTTGTCAAATAAAAAGTTTTGAATACCTCCTTGAACAAATTGCAGGCAATGAAACCAGAGTTTACAATTATTCCGCAAATCAGGAGTACTTTCGTTTAGACGTGACCAAATAAGTTCGTGCGGTTTTTAGTAGAGAAATATAATTTTTTGTTGAGAAACAATAAGACACTATGTATTCGTCGAAGTAATTACCATCACATTCAATGACCTTTTGCCAACGTGGAACCAATTTTTGTATGCCGGTATTGTAGAACTCCCTGGATTTGGAGTCAACAAATTGGCGGACTGCATTTATTACACCATCTCGAGTTGTGAACTGTCGGTGCCTCATAAAGTTTTCAAGAGGTGATAGGTGAAAAGGTGATAATTACTGGGCGAAATGTCTGGAGAATATGGCGGGTGCTGTAACGTTTCCCAGCCGAGTTCAGAAATTTTGTCTAGGGTCACTTTTGCGGTATGAGGCTTGACGTTATCCTGCAAGAATATCACTTTCTTCCGATTGATCAAAGAAGGCCGTTTCTGGATGAGTGCTGTTTGTACACGTTGAAGCTGCTCACAATAAAAGATAGCAGTGATGGTTTGACCCCTTTCCAAAAACTCATAATGGACAATTCCATTTGCTGTCCACCAAACACACAACAAAACCTTGTTTGGTTGCAAGGAAGCCTTGGGCGTGTGTGGCAGTAGGCGACAACCAATGATACTGTGACAAATAGCGCCATCTGTTGGGTGAGGCTCCTACTCGCCAGAGCTTAATTGCCGATCTCTGCTTTTACGCGAACCACGGCGCACAAGCCGGCTGGCGGCGTCTGTGAGGACCTTGACAGTGGATCGCCTTCTAGATCGACCCGAAGTGATCTCCAACATTCAAGATGTCGCTTTGTGGTACACCCGGTTTTTTCTCGAAGCTGTAATGGGGACTATATATCACTCGGCGGCCGGGAGATAGAGGCAGAGTACGGAATACGGTAGACTAGCAGAGCGGAGTGAAGTATAGTACAGTAAATGGTGACATAAGAATTAGTCACAGGCAGCAGCGGTGGCCGCAGTAGTAGACTCTTCGGTCTCCTGATCAGTCGCCGTGCGCTGTGCATTTCTTTTTGTGGAATCCAGTGTTTTAATCCACACCCAAAAGAACCCAGAAAAACGCTACAATACGAACGCTTAGAATTCGAATACAAGATCCATTTTTCGTCACAGGTCAATAACCGATTAAGAAACGGTTCATTAGCGTTGCGTGAAATGTTTGCTGAACAAATGGTAAGACGACTTAATTTGTTATCATTTGTCAGTTCATGTGGGCTTAACTTCCACGTCTTTCCTAGCTAATGAAGATACAAATGAATAGTTTCAGGGCTCACTCTGAGCATTTTTGCAAGTTCTTGGCACGTTGTCCTGGAATTTGCGTCCACAACCTGTCATAGATCCTTGTTGTTCATGACTTTTGGTCTCCCTCAGCGCAGTTCATCGCTCAAACTGAGATCTTCCGAAGAAAATTTTTTGAACCGCTTCTGTGCTGTTCGATCACTAACGGCATCATCTCCGAATGCGGTACATATTTTTTGCGTTGCCGCTGCAGCTTTTGTACCAAGTTTGTACTCATACACTCAACAACTTTGAATTACTGTTTTATTCGTCGCCATTTTCAATTATTAAAACTGGGTAAGTAACAATTTTCAGCAACTTTTTATGTGTGTGAGAAAAGGATTCATACTAAAGTGACAACAGATAACAAACAATCGCTATCTATCAACAACATCCATGGCAATGTGCGATGTACAGCAACAGCACGAACTCATTTGGTTACCTGATATGATTAGACCGGTATCTTAAATGTAGAGTCAGTCTACTCGACGTCATTTTTTCTTAATATCCTCACCGGCACAGGAGCTGGTGGGTGTTTATGGGGTCCGCTATGCAGCAGGTCCCATTGCGGCCGCCCATAAATATCCATCTATTAGAGGAAAAGCGTCCGGATGTGGAGAACAAACGGCGGGGCAGTCGGCTCCGGGCTCCGGAATCCGGCCGGATAAATCCGGGATCTGGACGGAGTGTGTGAAACATTTCCGCGCCGGAAGCTGACTGCCATGCCACCGCCGACGATGAAGCTAAGTATGAGTTATGAAACGGACAGCAACGGGATGGTGTGCCAGTCTCTGCAGGATTAAGCCACTTTTATAGGCCGTGACATAAATAAGGATATAATTGCACATACTAAGCGCTTTTAAGCCTGTGTTTAAGCTCTTTGTTTATCGTATCCAGACAGTTGGCGAGTGAATTTTTGCATTAAGCGAATCGGTCGTTTCAAAAACCACCTGTCCATCAATACATTCTTTTCTCTTCAAAGAATACCACGTAATACATGTTCATTGCAAAAGCAACTTACGAGGTCTGTAACTTAAGAGATGAGACTGCTTTATTTTTGTTTGTTCAAATTCAATTATAATTTCATAATGTCACCTTCAAAATAACTTTCTTTAGAAGCCACACAGCTACAGTATATTCAGATAAGAGATAGACCGGATGTAAACAAAAGGTTCGGGTGATTTTCACGCTAACGCCGCCGTCTCGACGTAAAACAGGAGCCCTCATTGGTCAATTCGCAATTAAATGCCTATGCCGAGTGGCAGAGCAGTCGTATCAAGGCAGAGTCACATTCAGGTTCAGACGTGTTACGTATGTCGTGTGCATCATTGCAATTTGATATTTCTTTAGACGTTTTCGTTTGTTATCTTATTAAGTTGTTGAGTTTGTCGTTGTTATTGTTATACCTTGTTATTGATTGTTATTGTTATCAACTGCTTGCGCAAAATACCCAGTAGTACAGATACTGCCGATGAAGTTGTAAACTCCTGTAGTCCACCTAGGAAACGCTCTAAAAAAAGACACCTGAGTGCAGAAATGAAAGAGGTCATTTTGAATATATATAAGATCGAGCGCGAGGAGAACGAGGCATCAACCATCAAAGAAATTGTTGTGAAGGTTTCTCACAAAGTTGGGGTGTGTCGCGCATCAGTGTTTAATGTGTTAAGTCAATACAAAAAAAATCACACCTTTTCTGAGCCAATGACCAGTAAACATCGCAAAAGTATTGTTAAATCATTGGATGAAGCTGATAAGCATGCGATTAGGAGGAAAGTGCATGAATTCTTCTTTAGGAATGAAATACCTACTATAGATAAAGTACTGCAGGAGGTAAATGGAGATACAACGTTGCCAAATTTTCACCGATCAACTTTCCATGCGTTACTGAAGCATTTAAATTTCAAATGGAAAAAACGGGGTCGTAATAGTTTACTACTGGATAGAGAAGAAATTGTGCTATGGAGGAGGGATTATTTAACAAAAATTGGGAAATATAGAAATCAAAACAGGAAGATTTATTACCTTGATGAAACGTGGGTAAACGCAGGACACACTACAAGTAAAGTATGGGTTGATGATTCTGTAACTTCATCCAGGAGGGCCTTTCTAGATGGACTGTCCACCGGATTAAAAAATCCAGCAGGTAAATACGAGTAATAGACAACAATCGGATGTTTTTCAAACCTTGGGAACAAGGTTCTAAACATTAATTCCAGGGGGCAGATAAAACATATTACAAGTAACAAAACTTATATAACTTTCGATAAAATGCGTGGATGTTTTATTGTCATTTTCATTTGTTAGAACTTTTTTAAGCCATGTTTTTATGTGTTTTCGATATTTCAATAATTTTTTAATATAATCTTAAAATATGTCGAATATTATAAACTTAAAAAAAGTTACTAGGTTTTATATTGTGTACCGTTCCTAATATTTCTAATCATTTTAATTCATACTTTAAGCTTTATAAAGTTATAATTTGTTAATATTAATATTTGCGCGTATTTCAGGTTCCTGATCATTCATTTTTTAAAGGTTTATAACTTTAAATTAAATTGTGAAGCGCTGAGTAATCATACGACGTTCAATATTCTTTCTTTCAATATGACTAAATAATCCCAATTATAGCAATCTGATACTCATGTCTCAATGTTTTTTCGCTGAATGTGATGAAAACATTTGAAAAAGGTTCGCTTATTGAAATAAATCTACACCAGTTAGTACTTCGATTTCCAGGTAAAGCGAAAAGGCTCATTATCTGCCATATTGGCAGTGAGGATGGATTTGTTGTTGACGGTCTGTGGTGCTTTGAGTCTAAGAAAACTGGAGATTACCACGAGGAAATGAATGGCGAATCGTTTGAACAGTGGTTTTCAAAAATTTTACCGAACTTAGAGGAAAACGCAGTAATTGTGTTGGATAATGCGCCTTATCATTCTCGAAGAATGGAGAAGGTCCCAACAACGGCTTCAAGGAAAGTTGATGTTCAAAATTGTCTCCGCTCGAAAAATATCAACTTTGAAGAAGCAATGCTGAAAGTACAATTATTAAGAATTGTCAAGGATCACAAGGCGGAATATCAAAAATACGCCATTGACGAAATGGCAGCAAGTCAAAATAAAACTGTGCTCCGTTTACCTCCA